TAAAGAATGATACCGAGAAGAATAACTAGCATGCTGCCTGCCTTTTCAAGGATGACATGCTGACAAAGAAAAATAAAAATTAAAGTGGTCCACGTAAAGAATAAAATACACATAAATCGAGAAATGGTCCAAATTCAAAAAAAAAGAAAGGAAGTCCCTCGGGGAAATCCGTTAGAATTGGAACGACACAGAGAAGATTAATTAGCATGGCCACTGCACAAGGATGACACTCATAAATCAGGAAAAAGGAATACGATATATTCACATAAAATAAAATTGACAAACTCAGCATTTATCTATGCACACCCAGGTAAGAACATGTTGACGTCACTCTGTTTGTCTTCCTCTGCCCACTGTGCTTCTGTACGCCGTGTCCTCTGTGTGTATGTGTCTATGTTCATGTGTGTGTGTGTGTGTGTGTGTGTGTGTGTGTGTGTGTGTGTGTGTGTGTGTGTGTGTGTGTGTTTTCCGTAAATCAATTAGAATAATCCAATGAGTCTATCCAGATAGAAACATCTGGGAGCATTACCCAGTTTTGCTTATGTAAAAGAAACGAAAAAGATGGAGGCGGGCCGGACGGAACGGGAAGGAAAAATTGCAAAATTGCATCATCCCACACACCCGTGCAAATATAGGAACTAAGGGTCTCATTAGACACTCCTAAAAGAATCCTAAAATTTTTAGGACGAGTCCTAAAGGCTTTCTAGGATTTTGTGCGGGTCGTTACATGCAATCCTAAAAATCATGTTTTAGGATTCGTCCTAAAAGGTCTCCCACGGCCGGTTTGCCCGAGTCGACCCACAGAAAACCTCCGATGTCCAACCACTGACCAGACGGACCGCTTCTGCACCAGCAACTCCGTGTCGACTGTGCCATGCGCGCGACGCAACGAGTCCGTGAAACGCGGGAATCCTAAATTTTTCAGTAGGTCGGGGGCTACTGGAAAATTTAGGATGATGTTTTGGCCTGGGGAATCCTAAACCCTTTAGGACTCGTCCTAATGCCGTTTTCACATTTTCGATCTCAAAATTGGATTTAGGATTGCGTGCAACCAAGATGCAATCCTAAAAACAGGCACTTTTAGGAGTGTCTAACGAGACCCTAACTTTTACTATTTACTATTTACTATTTACTATTTAGTATTAACGTGCTGTTTGTTCTGGCATATCTAGCATGCTAGCCAACCAGGACGCCGAGAAAATACACACACACACACATGCACACACACACACAAAAAAGAAAATAACCTTCCATCTTTTTAGCGGCAGGGTAGGGGTTCACCTCTCTCTTGATTTCCTTACTTCTCTCGTGGTGACGTTTGCGCGCTAAGCGCCACAACTACAAAGGTTTCCACTTTCATCAAGCGCCACAACTACAAAGGTTTCCACTTTCATCCGATGGCAGTGTCGCCCCCTACTGGTGCAGAAAATGGTGGGATCCCAAATTTTGCCAGAAAAAAAAGTACTTATGGTAAGTAGTGCGGGATCTGAGAGCCTAAACGACCAGTACTTCCTAACATTGTGCCGGTTAACAAGCCACCAAGCCACCACAATTCTAGGAAATGTACGGGCCACTACAGGAGCGCCCAAATTCATCCGACTTGAAACGTTTCTACTCTGTTTTTTTCTGCCAGCAATAGCTGGGCCAAGTACTGGTGGTTTAAGCCACAAGTTC